ATAAGCTTGCTCTGAAAACTCCCTCAAAAACGATGAGCATGTTTGAGATGTCAAAGTTCTGAAGTTCGATCGAAAAAATAATAAAAATAATAGCGATTGATCATTCCTGGAATTAATTAGTGCATGTCAATGGGTTCGGATGTTTGACCTGATGGTACAAAAGGAATAACGGAATTTCATCGGCGGCAATTTTCGTTTCGGTTCTGTTAGATTTCAAGACAAATACCATATGCCATTAACCGCATACTAACGGAACAATACCACAGCAATTTGGCCTTCGATTACCAAAACAGAACCGAATTTATTCTCCGTCAATAAGCCGAAACCGAATTCCCCAGAGCTCAGTAATGTAACAAAACAAAAAGACGAAATATTCTGCAATCGGGAAGTCAAAAATGATATTCGGCTGTGAAAAACAGAAGAAATTGTAGTGACGTTGAATTGGGCAATGCAACTGTGCGTTGCGTTTTTTTTATTCATCTTCTTCTTCACAAAAATGACCTGAAGTGGTTAGCGCACACGAATTCGGTGCCGATAGCGAAAAACACACCCAAACCATATGTACACACAACATCAAGGATAGAAAAAGGTGCGTGACGTTGGAAGGAAAAAAAAGGCATGCAAAATGCTAAGAATGCAACACGCTGTGCATAGGCTATAACAATAGATGGCAATTATACGCATAACAATTGAGCTGAAGAGTTCATCGGCTCAATAAATACTTTTCTCTCGGCCGAATCGAGCAAACATTATGTGAAATCGTACACGTAATTGATTGGTTTGAAGGAAGAAAAGTCTGCCAGTTAATTTTTTCTGTTGCGCTTCTTTTTGTTCCGAGTGCCGAGCGAGTGAATAGGCACGAAGAACAAAATATACTATATAATTGAGTGAAATTGAAGATGAATCTCCGCATATTCACTTAAGGAATGTAAAATTTGGCCAAGATACTTTGTATTTGTTGACGCTGAAAACGATACCAACAACAATGATTGTGTGCCGATATGCGTTCGTGCCTCTTCTTGCCGAAACAGCTCTTTTAATTCCCTCCTCTGTTTCGTTTCGTTCGGTTAATTCCCAAATTTAGCTAACAAAAGCCATACAACACGCGGCCACTGTGTTATCTACCGTATTCAATACGCTTGATACATGTAATAGGCGCAGTTAATTTAACATAATTATAGAGATCAACATGAAAGGCATCAATCGCATTTTTGAGCCACAAACAACAGCCCAAAACAGATTGGGCTGCACAAAAGCCTATTCACAATGTTGCTATGATATCAATCGATTTCCCGACTATGTTTTGATCGATGGAATTGACGCAAGTGTCAAAATATTATTATGCCAGATGATTGAATTTTGAAGTGGGTCGCCAAGTTTTGTTGGCGAAGGTGCGAAAATTCACACAGGTAAAATTTCCGACTATTTCTACTGATTTGTATCATTTTACCCAACATTTCTTACCTTGCTTCAATTCAAAGGAGATATTTAACAGTAGGCTGTAGAGAAATTCGACAACAAAATTCATATAATCACCTCAATCCCAAGCGTAAACACTGCTTTTGTGCAGTTTTTTCTTCGAAGAAAGTATTTTTGTGTATTTTTCGACACGCAATTTTTTCCGCACACAGAAAAAAAATCAAAATTAAGGAATGGGAATTCTCACGCGTTTAAAATCCTTCTTTTTCGTACGATTTGCGTCAAGAATTTGCTTTGCGAAAAGAAATTTGTAAACAAATGAGGGGGTTTTCACCAATAAATGACAAGTAATTAATGAAGACGCTAATTAGTACAATATGGAAACAGTTGTTATCGCTCGATTAAATTGATTGTGTTTTAATTAAAAATGGGATCAATAACACTCCGGTAGCCACGAATGTGGTTTCGCTTAGCTGGTGTTGATTTATCAGATCTCAGGATCAAGGAGCTGACTGCTATTTTGTATAAGTGACGTAGTCATTTCACAACATTTTCATCAATTTAATGAATGTTTGATTGGGCTTTAATAATAAATCGACAGTGAATAATTTCCTTAGCCGTCGAAAGCGTGTCGTTCAAAAGTTAAGCGCAAATAAATCCGGTTGTATGACCTAAGCCAAGCGAATTGATTGTTCGGCGTTGATTTTTAAGTGGAATGCAACCGAATGACCGAAACTTAAGGAATCCAATGTGCCAATGTCGAATGAAATGAGCAATAAACACCGGCTTTTTTCTCTTTCGCATGGTTGCGTAAACACATCAAATTTCGAATGCTAAATTTTGCATTCGGAAGGCGCAATTTTCCATCATCGTCAGAAGTAATTGCATCTTGAGATCAATTCGATCGATTGAAACTCTTACTTTTGGAATAATTAGTGTCGGTAACTCATTGATTCCAACAGAAATAAAATCTACACTTGAAAAGATACACGAGACTTTTGACCAACGAACAAATTTCATATTCGCTTTATACTGGCAATAATTGAAATTGTAAAAATGCTTACGCTGACTAAATTCAATATAAAACGCAAATTATGCAGAGTGTAAAACGATTTCGCGCACAATCAATAACGAGCAGCAACTGTTGTTCTTATTATGCCATTCTTTGATTGGTTCCGATTGATGATTTGCATTCGCAATTTGTTGTTTTCATGTTTCGATGCGGCAAACACGTGCACATAGCCCGAAGAGAAGTGTGTGTGTGTGTTGCCACTGGCAAAGGACGCTATGCCGTCGATGGTGCAAGCATAAAATATGTTTACGTAAAAAATAAATTCGTTTAGTTCGATGCTGATGAAATTAACACGTACTCGTATGCACGCTAACGAACACTTTTGTAATTGGATCGATCGGGATCAATCATAATTTACAAGAGAAATCGAAATGATTATTTCTTGAAGAAACCAATCGAAACGTTGCTATATTTCATTCATAAAAACGAAATCAATTCGAGGAATTCGTCCGATGCAAACGTGCGTCCATGTTAAAGGAGATTCAATTTAAAGACGACCCTTGAACGAATGCACTTCTTGAAGCCTGACTTTTTCACTTTTTGACCGAAGTGAGCATGACCTCAGCAAAACATTTTATCAGAGAAATGCTCTAGAGGTTTTACAATTTTTTGGTTTGAGTATTGCATGAAACTACGATTTTGTCGACATTTTTATCACAGTTTTTTTTTCTCAAATTTTGGTTTCGGTTTAAGGTTTTTTTTGTTACAAACCAATAGTATCTGCTAGTTAGATTCCATCTAACCATTTTTCTCGCTTTTTGTATTAGAAATAGCGCAACATTCGCGCCCTGCAAAGAAAATGTAATGAATAAAATGTGCAGAAGCAGATCAAATCAAGCGTAAGAAATAAATTGAAATCTTTTTTCTCTACCTTTTACAAATGGATAAGAGTGTTTGTTGGGCGCACTGGCGAAAAGCTATCGGTAAAATAATATTGGACGCTTTGCTATTTCACTGGTAAAGTCAGTTGATTGAAACGAAGCGCAAAAAAGGCCAGACAATAATTCTTCGTTCTCATTTCCATACCAATAGGAATTATCATTATCAAGTATCGATTGCACCTCGATACTGAGCCATTACAACGTTTTTTTTCTTCTTTCTTGCATTGAATTTGATCATTGCGCGTCTCTAGTCTGACAAGAACAATGATGGCTTGAAAGATTGAGAGCACGTATAAATTGGAATTTGATCGCAAGAGTTTTTAGATCAATTTAATGCACACGGCGTGTTCACTTTAATGAACTTCAGCTGCGAGATTTTAATGAAGTACATCGAACCAATTGCGAAACGACATGAACGAAAAAAAGAACAATCCATTCACAATGGTCGTTGAGATGAACAGAAAAAAACAATTCATGTAATTCAATAACTGTCATCGAGATACATCTTTTGGCCGCAAAAACTTATTGCAAATCTCTGTCTCTCTCTCCCTTCCTCTCTCGGTTCAAAAATATCTATTTCAGACGCAGCATGGCTAATTCTATTATTGAGCGAGCAAAAAATAAAAACAATTGCACAGAAAGAGAGAATATTGAGCCTAACGGTTACATTTAAGCCCCAAACCGCATGAAGATATTTACACGCAACATAAATATGACAAACGTTCTTCGTTCCTCAATGGCTTTGTTCATTAAACAATTCATAATTTCCAAAGCGTGCGCTCTGGCTTTGCATCAAGAATGCGAGAAAACAACTCAATCGCATGGATTCAGCTCTTCAGCATCAGTTCAACTTGTGCAAAAAGAAGTAATAAAATTCATAAAGTGCGTAAAATACACCGAGTTTTGTTGAACGTTTCCCAAAGCAACAGGAAGTCACAAATCACAAAGCACACATTTTCGTTGACTAAACTGATTTGGTTGTTTTGTTCTTTGCTTTTGTTTAATCCATTTTTTTTATCTTTTCAACATTTTTTTTCCTTAATTTTTCATCAAAATTCTGACAGCTAATTAAATATTTTCCATCTAAAAATAAATCAATTTCAATCGAGAAGATAATTAATTGAACTATGTGTTTGTGTTGCCAAGAGAAACTCGATGTGCTATTTATGATATGAACTCTCTCCCCTTTGATTTCGTTTGTTACATCTTAGATTCAGTGTAACATCCATTGAATGTCTATCAAACAAGGTACAAAAACTTGCTGTGACATACTTTCGATGGCATGCATGACGCTGCCGGCTCATTAATGCACGTAGCGAAAATTAGCTTGTTGGATGATTTGAGATTTATCCCTGTGCCATACAAGGAATATTCGCCTCGAATTCATAATAAATGAGATTCAGAGAAAAATCAATTAGGAAGTCTTACATATATCCTTAATTAAGCATAAAGTTTGACAATTTTGCAATATGTTTGATGTCATTCCGTTAAATTAATCATTTTTGTGACATTGTTTTCGAGTAAATAAATTCTCAATGGAATGTTTCGTTTTCGTCAAAGCAAATATTGCTGCTTCAATGTTGAAGGAAAGTAGAGTTGACAGCGAAATAATTGTAACAGTTGCTTACCTTGAATTTGTGGAGCGTTGGGTTTGTAGCCTTGGCAATCGGAGCTGATGAGACCATTTGTTGTTGAGTGAACGGTATTTGTGTTGGAAGCTTGAATGGATGTGATGGCCGGTGCCTTCCTTCGGAACGATTCCAAATCACGTAAGTGGCTGGAGAATGATGAGTCCAAAAATGGTCGTTGACCGATACCGAGCGCACGGAACGGATGGGTGGTGTTCGGGCCTGATATAATGATGGAAATCGATACGAATGTGGTTAAAACCATATTTTTGTTTGAAAAATTTAAATGAGGCAACGTCAAAAACGGAAGCGCTTAATACATTTTGCAGTCAATTTGCGGCTTCGAAAAATAATAGATTAGATTAATAAAATCCAAAGTTAAGCGAGCGCGTGCTTTTGTGTGTAATGTGTATGGAAAATATGAATTTTTCACTGCTAATGTTGGCTTTGGATAATTTTGTTATCATTTTTCTGTGGTTAGTTCGGGCATGTGTACCGAGTTGTAGTTTTGGTTTTTTTCTCTCTCTCGCTCTCGCTCTCGCTCTCGCTCTCGCTCTCGCTCTCACTCTCTTTCGTTTAGTTCTGAATCATATGTACATGTGAGTGAATGTAGTAAATCATTTTGTTGCCATTTTGGCCAACAAATCCTACCGCTGGCTAATAACTATGTGTCCCTGTTTAAAGAGCTGACATATCAAAATGCAAAGGACACCGAACTGTGTGTGTGTGTGTGTGTGTGTGTGTGTGTGCGGAGCAGAGAAAAAAAAACTCGTCGACAAATGTGCATTTGTAACACGAGCACAAGCGAATTGGTAACAATTTGAAATGTCCAAACCACTGTAATGAATTTTTGGTTTTGAAAATTTTCTAATCATTGGAAAGAGTGAGCGAGAGATGGAGAGGAAGATGGAGGCAGAGAGGAATGAGAGGCTTGCATGTAGACGCAATTGTGCAGACGGAATTAACTCATTATCCGGACAGGAAATGATTATGCTATAACGTTGTTCATGAGATGAGATTCCGTATTTTCACTCATGTTTTTGCGGTCGCCGGTAGCCCATTCGATTCACACCAAACGCAAAGAATTTCGTCCTGAACACCGCACAAAACCAAAAATAGCATCGACCAAATCGAATCGAATGTGGAAACTATTTCGTCGTTGTGTTGCACTGCACACACACACACACACATTCAGGTGACGAATTGCCGTTCGTTGCTGTTTTTTCTGTATTGTTCGTCATTACAATTTGTTCGAGATTATCATTCGGGTGTACGATGTAAAATGGAAAAAGAGTCGAGCCGCATCTCGTAACAAAATGTTTATTTTCGGCGTATTCAGCCACCGAGTTAGAAATCAAAAAGCTAACCATAATTGCAGCAATATTGTATTGCTGCATCACCACCATGCCCACACCGCTCTCCGAATATCCCAATAACACCTTCAAATCATTCTTGTGCGGAGGAGTTTTTGTGAACGCTCGAATGATGCTGTTGCCGAACAGCATGCGAATGTCGAGCAACGATACATTATAATTTAATGCGTTTCACATTTACCGGGTCTTGCATTTACAATTGCATTCATCTTGTCTATCGGCGCTACGCATTGCGATGCTGCTGTTCGAAATTGAAAAGTCAAATGGTCACTCGCACTATCTATGAACCCATGCAATCCCATTCAGCCAGCCGAACGACATTCGAACGATTCATTTCATAGTACATGTGGATTTACGTGAAAGAGAACGAGCAAGAATACGAGATTTTGTATCATTTATTTGAGTCAAAAGGATGACACAATCACCGGTTTTAACATTTCGAATAGAACGAAAAACTATGCGATTTCAATCGGAATGCACGTGTTTTGAACAGGCAAATGGGCTATTCGGTTCGGTTCTGTAGCTTGGTGCAAAATGTGGAGCGACGTTCAGGGAAAGAGCAAGCGAACGAGAGAGACTTTTTCATTTGATTTGTCATGTTGCACATGACATTCGAGATAATGATTAAAAACATTGTGATTTTTGGCGATTCGATTCCGTAGCAATTCAACTATGCAAGTAATTTAGTGTGTAGCTTGGGCTAATGATAACGTTGCTGTCCGAGTGTCTTTTTTCCCAATGACACAACACGCATTGCATGACACATACACACGCACGCACCGACAGCGAGAGAGTGAGTGAGTGAGTGAGAAAGGTGCTCGTATATTTTGGTAATGCATTAGCATATGTCAAATGAACAAGTCATCGTTTTGTATGCACTCTGCCGAAAGAGTTAATGTTGCAATATAACGAACGTAAAACAATTTCGGTGTGCACTCTCATTGCCATATGCAACCGGTTTATACATTTTATATATATATATATATGTGTCACAATCATCAGAAAACTCATCCGACACCGACATCCGGTCATTGCTCAATTTCTCTTTGTAATTCGCATTTGTTCAACAATCTAGTTCGTTTCCATCTCAATCGCATAATGCCCATTTTACTTTTACGGAAATTCATTTTCGATTGCACCGGCTTCGGCCGGGTATTGGCCCAATCGAAGCTACTAGTTTTCGAAGCAATTTCAATTCATTATTATTTAGAAAATCGGGCCATTCTCCGGAAATGAACAAAGGAATTATTTCAGTATTTTTCGATTTGCTAATCGGATCCCACGTGAGACACCCACTTGATTTTAATAAAAGACTCATCGCCTCATCATTTTGGGAACATGATTAATTGATCGGCGTCATCGTCATCGTCATCATCATCATCATCATCGTTGTCGTCGTGTGATTCATGCCAAAAATTGTGCGTAACACACAGTGGAAACCCGTTCACGTAGAGAACGCTTTGTTTTTCGATTGAGATTGGATTTCTGATTCAACCCCATCATTATCATGAATCATTTTGTTTTACTACATTTAAAATCACAGCACCAATTTTCGATTGATTTTCAGTCGTCGAACAATCACACATTTTCGGTGGATCCTTTCAATCCGAATCAAACAAACCAGTTCAGCACTCGAACAAATAGTGAATGGTCGATTATGCATGTTGATATGTTAAATGAATAATCAGCCACAATTTTCGTTGTCAAAAATGCCAGCATTTCCGGTTCAATAAATTAAATTTTAACCACGGACGTGTAGCGAGCTCTCACAGTGGCTTACTGGCCACTATTTTTTATAAACATAACAAATTAGCTGGTTAATTTCGGGTTGAGCGCTGTTTTTATGTTAAATGGCCGAAATATGAACGAGAGAAAAAAATATGCAAACAAACTCGATGTCGCCATTGGTATGAGATAATAAAGGGCTATTAAACAGTCGACGATGCTTCATAAATGATTCAAGGTAGAAGACGGTGGAATGAGCGCAAAAAGAATGTCATCGCATAAAATTCCAGTTTTGATGAGTATTTTTCGGAAACAGTAAAAAGACATAAAATCTGTGGGTGGGTTCTCAATGTGAAAAGGTCTCCCGATTGATTGGCCCGAGCGATTTGCATAGAAAATCAATGAACGAAAATCTGGGGGCGGAATTTGAAATTGGCGACAAAACTAATTTGATTCGACGCCAACGAAATAAAACTTACGACGTGAACAACAAAAAATCCTTCGCGATTTGAATTGTTTTCGTTTCATGCTTCTTCAGTTCAACAGTCAACAATTTGCACAGAAGCAATTCTGGCATTCGATTTTAATTTTAGCTCTCAAACTCATACATCAACGTTCGATTGTTCGATTTGAATGTAAAATTGACACTCGTTAAATTTGAGTCGATACTCGGTCGATTCCATAGGTTATTATTGCCCTTGCCGAAATGACCATACTAAACATCAACAGACTGGTCAATATAATGATGGGCACAATTGCAACAAAATTCTTTTTTTTAAGAGAAAAGAAAGCTCAACAGTATAGCATATCAAATTATGAATTATTACCTGAAACTGAGAGTACACATAAATATCAAGCCAACTGTTGTGTCAGAAAAAATGGTGCCGCACACGCGCCAGTAGCATTAATGTATAATTTCATTCGTGTGCAACATTTTCGTATCACATTTATGACGGACATTCGCATTAGACATACAAACAGAGTCATTTTTTGGCAGAGCTCAGAGACTTCACTGCATTTTGCGTATGCAAATAATTACGTTCGACTCACAGCATATGGTTCACTCAACCAATTTCACTTGCTTCGTTAATGTTGTTGTGTTTATATTTCGAGATAATTTCTGGCATGTCGGAAGCAAAAATATCGAAAGCACACAAATTCGCATGCACAGACTCGTTGGAACATGTATCATATTCATAATAATAATAATCGTCAACAACAACAAAAAAATCATAATAATAATATGAAAAATTCCATTATTTTAATTCTCAAGCAATGCTTATCACATCCATGTAATGAGAAAATAAAGCATTCCCACGATAAATTCGACGAGAAAAAAAAGCAAGAGGCTTGTTCTTATCGAAGGTACTTGGCATATGATTCTAGATATAAATAAGGCAGCCAATGTAACAAATAGATTTGTTCCGTTTTTCTGCCGTTTCACAAATGAAATCATCCGATTTTTTTTTTTACAATGTCACCAAATCTCTGCTACTGATAAAGGAATTAACAATGAATTGTGTGCAAATTGTAATTTAATTGAAAATAAACATTGAACGAGAAATGTTCACATCGAAAAGGCGGAAGACATTGCAAGATTATAGCAATACATCATTTAACTATCAGACGATTTTGAGGTTTTTTCATTTCAGTGTTTTTTTTCTTTCTGTTTGGTTTTTTGTAGTTTATTTCTCTCTTTCTTTGACTTTACTCATTGATAACAATAAAATATTGAATCCAACTAAATCCTTTGCTACACATGTCATACAGTCGACCAAATCTTATCAGCCGCGATGAAATTTTTTTCATTTTCTGGTGAGAAAGTAATGAGAAACCAGAATAATTAGCATTAATCTCGGTTTTTCCGACTAACCAAGATGCATAGATATATTGAGTAGCAACTATTTGGATACTATTTAGTTTTATCTAAATACATTTCCGAGTTAAATTTTGGTATTCAAGCTGTGGGATTGTAAAGCTTAGAAATGGTTAGAAAATTGAAAGTGTCTGGCATGTGATTTGAGAGGTGTGAGTGAAATTCTTTACAAAGGATACATGTACACTTCCATCTCTTCCTTTACACATTCTGTGAATGAATCAAATACACCGAAATGCAGCAAGCATTACATCACATGTGGAACGCTTGGCATTGCGTGACTGTGATTTAGACACGACATGCAAACTACTTAATTGATTTGGGTGAGCTGTAAGGCGTCATGCCAAGAACCTGTAAATGGACTAACGCTCCGTTTCAAACTGTCGTGCATTTGTCAGCCGCTGCACACCGTGGCCTGTAATCAGATGATTTTCAACTTTCTCTGCTTGTCACTCTTTACCTCTTATCTCCGATGGATTTCGGCATTGACCGTTTGATTATTTCGGTTTATATTTGGAATGAAGCAACCAAACCGATTGTGATATGGAACAATAACAAAGGAGAAAATGACGTTTATAGCCAAAAGGGTGCAACAGCATAGTGAAAGATACTTACATGTTTTGGAGCGTGGTTCACGTGGGCCATCCACTGTTACTTTGATCGCCTTGGTGTATGTGGCTACTTGCGGTGGGCTTGTCGATATGGTTATTGTTACTGAGAAACTCTTTCCTGTAGAAAATTCAGGATAAAAACAACAAAATTGAAGGTGTGTATTAACGTCCTAGTAAGGAAAAATATTTGTTTTTAAAAAGATTTTACGTTAAAAGTCAAAACTTCACTAGAATTCATTGTTTACGTAATAAAAGCCGTCAACTACTTTCAAAATGAAAAAAAAAAAAAACGTTGAAATGTTCAAATATCCAAAGTTCATGTTTATAGATCGCTATCGCCAAAGTTTGTCCACGTGTTGGCAAAGATAAATGTTAAATTTGTTTGCAAATAGTAAAATGCGATGGTATTATCGTGAAAATATCCTATTCACAAAGCGGCAAGGCATCTTATATGCATGAAAATCCTCGTAAGCCGCTTACGTTTATTTACTTAAAATTAACCGACCGAAAACCACATATGCCGTTCACGTGCAAATACTTTGCTTGTGCCCAGCAGAAGCGAGTACTGTGTGACCAGTAGCGGCAGTCACTCATTTTATCGATAGATGATAAACGTTTGCAGTTACTGCTTCTCTTCAATATAATGACATGTTTTGAACGTGAAAAAATGCGACCGACAGAGAAATGGGGTTGAGTAAATGGTATTTACGAATATATTAATCTCATTTGAATGGAGACGTAAAGGCTCACGGACAATATGAAAGGAGAGAATTTTTTATGCGTAGAAATTCTCATTTAAATCTTAAAAAAAAAACGATTGAGAGTGACTCACATTTAATGATTCTAATAATGTTCAGTGGTGGCTGGTGAGATATTAATCTCCTTCAAAGGAATAGTCGGTGATTGCGATTCAAAGGTACCGGCCATAGAATTCAGCGATTTGGACCTATTAACCCATTGTCTTTTTATAGTCGGTATTAAGGGGTTATGACTATTAACATTGAACAATAACATGGAGTAGCTAACATAGATCACACAACTTCTTTTATCATAGAATCGCTCCTTTGAAGCCAAAATACGATGAAATATACCAAGCAAATTATTTTCCATTTGAACATTTTTAATGCTTTCGTTGAACTCCTCTAACGATTCAAAGGAGTTCCCGTTACTTTTAACAAATTCTTTTCACATATATTGAAACGATGTTTGTGAATTGTTCGATTTGTATATAGATCAATCATGAAGTAGGTCAACGAATTCCAAGATTGGATGTTTTTTTCTCTGTCGAAAATGGCATTCATCATTTATAAACTGCGGCACGAATTTGTGGTCGAATCATTTATGAAAAACAACAATCGCATAGTTGTTTTTTTCCGGGATGGAGTACAAAAACAAGACCTATTACCAAAAAAAATAATAACAATATAAATGGGTATTTCATGAGTGATGCCCTTTTTTATTCAGCCCCTTCTTTTATTACAATGTTGAAATTAATTGAATGCAATTACGGTGAACGAGAGTGTAAAATAGACAGTGTGGGTATGGATGGATGGATGGATGTTTGTTTCTTTCATCATTTCGAATCATTTCTCAGTTGATCCATTTTTTTTTCGAGCGCTTCTTTTTATTCTTTGCACAGAAACAAAAGCCATACTCTTCGGTGATGCCTTTAATTAATGGAAGGTGTATCACTTAGCTAACGTACATCTGGCGAAAGCCGAAACGAACCAAACAAAAACAACTAGAGACGAATGAAAAAAGCGACGAGATGTAATTTCTTTAATGTTCACCTTTTTATTATTATTAGGTGTTAAATTTACAGTAATAAATCCTTCAAACAAAATTCATATACACTCGTCGTCGTCGTAGTCGTAGTCGTCGTCGTCGCTTTTTTCTCGCTCTCTTCTTCGCTTTAATGGGCATCAATCAATATTGGCTTTTGTATGCGATCGCGCGGCGAATTGAGTTATTGAGAGAAGACAAAAGAGCGAACGGCATGAACATTAGACGCGCAACTAGCGTGAAAAGCGGCCAGAAAACGCTGAAATTGAAACCATGCGCACAACGATGAAGGGTTTGCGAGTGTATCATTTCCTGTGTGCTCTAGTTGCATTCATTTTATTTATTTTTCCCTTCTTTTTTTTCGCTAACCGCAAATATTTCATATTTATTCAGTGTGTGCATGCAGACAAAAAATGTCTAAGCCCTTTTTTGATGTGAAGATGCGATTTACATTTTCGGTCCAATGGCAATTCGTAAACCATTACCAGTGTTTATTGTTTTTGAAACACGTTGACAATTCTTGGCACAGCATACCGAGATCATAGACCAATGTTACCGCAAATGTAACATCACCCAAATGATTTATGCTTCGTGTAAAAGGTGCATGAAAGGCAATGGTCTTGCAGCCAAACACACACACAGAAAAAAAGAAGAGAAAAAAGTCTTTTTCCGTTTGCAATTTTCGACCAGCCCGCTGAATGGATTTAATTAGGCTTTAGCCTGTGACTTTGTTGTGCATTTGGAACAAAGATGAAACAATAAAAACGCATTATTTCAATGTCGATTTTACGACCCATGCTCAAAATAGAGGCATTAAACATTCGTTTGTGTGGCGGAAAATGTTGTTTTTTTTTGGCGAGTTGAAGCGAAAGCCCAAGAAGAAGCACAATTTTATTGAAAATAAACATTAAAATTGTATATTTGTGATTTATGACTTTGCTTCTCTCTTCCTTTTTTATGGGCAAATGCTTCATTTTCATCCTCCAGCGCGCGATGGCTGCACGGGCAGAGTGATGGACTCTCTCTCTCTCTCTCTCTCTCTGAACGGATATCGCCTTGGAATATGTATAAAAATTAATTGACGTAAATGCGAAACGAATCGCAAGTTATTGGCTCTTATGAGAGGAGAACAGAAGAAGAACGGTTTCATTTGAAGCAGCCGAGTCCATTGAGGATCATTTGTAAACCGCTCATCGATCTAGCCTCTTGATTTCGCTCGACAAAGTTGCATTTTTTGAACTTCTTCCAAATTTGAGCAATGCTTTTCTTAGAAAAAATGACTAAGAAAATTTAAACAAGTTTGAAATATAATTGAGAAGAAAAATAAAAAAAAAACATTTTTCTTCAATAAAAGCCAAAAACAGCAAAATGAAGAAGAATAAAGAAATCACACAAACTTCCATTGTTATTCGAACGGTGAAATTTTCGTTCGTAATTAATTGTTTGTTGCATGCAATGCAAAACATATCAATTAGAGTAAACAATGGAGAGAATTCAAGTGTGCGCCGCATATTTTCGAAGCATATGAGATGAGGCGGCGAAAGTGTGTGTGTGAAAGATAGAGAGCCGAGAACGATATAATAAATGAACGACGGAATGCGATTCGTGTTGATTGCACCAGCCCATATTGTCAAGTTTTGCTTTCGCAACAATCTGTATCCTATTTCGTGATTGTTTGCATTGTGATATTCGGGTGAAAAGACGACGATGAGAAACCGCAAACAAACAACAGCCAAAGCCACAAGGAGGAAGTTTTTGGTGTGTATGTTTTTTTTTGTTTTCCTTTATTTCAAACCTTTTGATATGAATTCGAATCGTCGTCTTTCTGCCATATTTTGATCTGTTTCCATAAGTTTTCCCGATTCGAAATTCCGTTCGCTCTCTCTCTATGTCTTCATTTTAATCCCTAAAGTATTTGGAAATTGGAAACTTTTCGCTATGGCAGAGGCGCCCGCGCTCATAATTATGCTCTCTATTAGCGCATAGTTTTGGTCGAAAAACGCATAATATCAAATCACCGCTCCTTTTGTATTATTAAAACATGAGCCATATTTCAATTTATTTATTGAGTTCTATCGTTTAATATCGAAATCGAAGTGAATAAAACATTTACGGCAAAATGCGAATGTGAATGCACTTTGGATGCAATGGAACCGAGTGCTCACCAACGCAATATAAATTGAATTGAGTGATATTTTGAGGTTTGCTATTCGCAATGAAAATTATATACACATACCGAAATGTACATGGACCGTGAAACACCATATATTTATTTATTAAATGAATTTTCGAACTGAAAGAAGAAAAAAACACCGTAAATTTTTCTCGATGAATTAACCAATAAATAAGCGAGATTTGTTGTGAATGCATTCGAAACTGCTGTCACGAATATACATCAAGTGAGATACAAGCGCGTCCATTTATGACGAAATAAATATGGCAAATTGAACGGTTTTTTTTCCATGCTATTTTTATCCGCTTGATGTTGTTGTTTTTTTCATTTCGGATAA